CATCTGTGGTCTGCTTTACAACACTGCCATGCAATTTGCAGAACAAAGTACATTACGTTACATCGATATGTTAAAGCCAGTGAAAAGACAATGGATCTACACACATGATCAAAACGTAACCTCTTCACATCGACCGTTCGCAAATATGCAGCTTTTTTCCATGGGACTGCTAATCTGCATACCTGTGTTTGTCCAGCTCAGAGACCGGGTCTGGGTCACCTGATTGTTGTGATAGCCTCTGATTGGCTATCACAGTGGTCAGTCACTGTGAAGCAGGCCCCTGTGTTCTCTCTGAATGGAGGAGAGTGTGTGTGTAAAAATAAATATATTTTTTTTTTTTTTAAACCTGGATCAAGGTTTGATCTAGATCACTGCCAGGGTCAAAGGTCAAATTCAGGGTCAGCATTTTTGGGGGGGGGGGGGGGGGTCAGGATTTTTTAAAATTTTTAAATTAGTATCAGTGTCAGTTAGTGGCAGGATAAAAAAAAAAAAATGCGACTGATGTGTCTGGGCCGTACTACGGGTACAAACAACAATTAACATACACATATGGTATTGCTGCAATCGTCAGAAGTGAGAAAAATTATTTTGTTTTTTTCTTTGGTGGCAGGTTATGGTAGTAGCAAGAAATATACAGCTGAATTAAATTATTAAATTCAATTAAAAATGATTTTTTTTTTTTACTATTTTGGACTAGTTTTCCTTTGTTAATAAAAATGAAATCAGGAGATATCCATTACTATTTACCACCAATGAAAGCCCAATTTGTCCTGGTTTTAATTTTAAAGTATTTTTATGATTTTTAGATACACACGGTGATAGGATCAGCTACATTTTAAATACATGTTCATTACCGTCTGTGCCCCTTATGGGAAAATGTACCCTCCCTACCTACACAATGACTACTTTCATATCAAGTAAATGGAAGTGAATCAGTTAGCAATGCCAACCTGACATAAGTTCAAGCCCCTCTGCACTCTACAATATAAAAACTGATTTTAGCTAGAGTGCTACCTTCATGCTTTAGAAATATGGTTTCAATGTATAATTTGTTGATCTACCATATATACAGTATGTCATACTTGCTCGTATAAATGTAGGTTTTGCTTTCTGCTTTACAGTGTTGCAGAGTGATTGGGCTTTACTATATTCCACTACTTCTTTCCCTCTTTCTTCAGATTTCCATGTGTACCTATGATTTCCACTCTTAATGTTTAGCAGCATGTGAAAGATGTATGGAAACAAGCCCAGTTTATCTGCCAGGCAATCTTTCAACCAATGACATAAACAACTGTTAACACAAACAAGAGTAATGTGCAATAATCCATTTCAAATAAAGCATGTATAATATTAAATGTATTTAAAAGTTCCAGTGTTTGAGGGGTGAAAGTCTGTATCCTATTGTCTGTTTCGCAATGTCAAAAAAAAGTAATATTCTATGCATTGAGAAATGTGCTTCTGTCTTTCGTAGAGAGCCTGCATAGACTTTGCTATTAGTGCCAAGCCACTCACTCGTTACATGCCCCAGAATCGCCATACCTTCCAGTACCGTGTCTGGCACTTTGTGGTTTCACCATCGTTTGAATACACCATCATGGCTATGATTGCTTTGAATACCGTGGTGCTAATGATGAAGGTAGGAACAAAGCATACTCCTACTGTTTAACATTTTATTTATATTATTATTTATTTTAATGCAGGACTCATAATGATGCATTTTCTTCAGAAGTGGCTTTTTGATATTATTTTTAGAATTAATTGATGCCTTTGAGGGTTTAGTCAATTGAGCCAAAGCAGCAAAAAAGAAATGCTGTCTTCTTATACTTGTGTTCCAACTTTAATAAGAATATTATACAACCATTCTCAAAATTACTAATTTGGCACAAAATATAGAAATCATAAACTACTAACCCAAAAAACAATTATATGTTATTTATTGGCTTTATATTTATTTCCCTAGTTTATGTTGTCAAGATACATTTATGGTAACCATTGTCACTGGAAATCGCAATGCTGCACCCATAGGTATTTCAAAATTGGGGTAAAGTTATTCTTTAATTGATTCAAACAGAAGGTAATAGAATGTAGAGTGGGATATTGAATTAAAATTCACAGAGGACCAGACAAGAACATTTTCTTTCAGCAGAGATCAAAATTTCATATTTGTTCTATGACTTACATAGATCTTTCACATCACAGGCCCCCACCATAACATCATATTCTCCCCTTTATATCAGTGTCCTTAATCTTCCCTTTATTCTTTTATGTCACCCCCTCTCGCCTTTTTTACAGCAGTGTCCTCAGCCCGCCATTCACAACACATTCCCACTTTCCTTTACATCACAGTCCTCTTAATATCACAGCCCCCTTTACATTGCAGTCCCCTTTACATCACAGCCCTTATGTTACATCACAGACTACTTCATATCACAGTGTCACAGTCTGAAGTCAGGCTTGGAATCCGTAGCTATAGCAGTAAAGAGGTCACTCTGGCAGATGATGCTGGCTCATCCGAGGTGCAGGGTCTACTAACCGGTATTCACCAGAGCCCCTCATGATGGAGATGATGGGTATTTCTGCATGTTTGTACCAGATGTCGGGCCTCAGGATTTCCTCACCAGGAGGTGAGCAGTAGCAGATATAGGAGGTAGGGATCAAGCAGAAGCGTAGTCATTAAACAAGCCAAAGATCAGTAACGAATAGTAGTGAAGATACAAACGTCAGCTGGAGTGACAAGAGCGAGATATTGGCTGACGAGAGCACAATAATATGCAAACAGAAAGTGCAGAAACATGGCTTAAGTCAGGAAGTTCACTAGAGGAGCAAAGAGTTCAAGGTTCACAAAAAATAAGGTACAAAGCAAAATTGTCTAATGCACAGGTGTCAAATTGGTGGCCCTCCAACTGTTGCCAAACTTCAAGTCCCATGAGGCATTGCAAGATTGACAGTTACAAGCATGACTCCCAAAGGCAGAGGCATGATGGATCTAATGGATCAGAAGGGAGCTGTCCAACATCTCAGATGGCTCAGCAAGAAGAATTACTGCCAGACACAGCAGAGGTCCCAGGTTCAGATCTTGGCTTTGACACACAGTCTTCTTCACTTTTGCATCACAATCTCCCTTTATATATACCCTTTACATCATTTCCCCCCATCTTTACATCATAGACTTCCCTTTACATCCATGTCCTTAGCCACCCGCACTCCACCTTTTTACAGCAGTGTCCTCAGCCCCCTTTACAAGACATTCCCCCTTTCCTTTACATAACCACCCTCTTCCTATCACAGCCCCCCTTTACATTGAGGCCCCCCCTTTATAGCAGTGTCTTCAGTGCACCTTCACATCAAAGCCCGTCCGTTACATCACAGATATTCTTCACATCACGGTCCTCCACTCCTTCACATCACAATCTCCCTTTACATCAAAGTCCTCAATACCCTTTCATATCACAGCCCCTCTACATCACAGTTTTTTCATAACTCGGTTCATGCTTCTTACATTGGAGTCCCCCCTCTTTACATCATAGTCACCTTTTCACATCACAGCCCTCCCTTCATATCAATGCCCTTTTATATCAACACACCCCCCCCCCCCCCCCACAAACCCCCTTCACAGTCCTACCCTACAAAGACAGGAACCAATTTTTCATGTTAACAAGTAGGAGAATGATTGCTAGGACTACCCTGCAGTTAATTTTAAAAGTGGAGCAGTTCCCACCCTCTGTCCATTCCTGCCGCACCTCCTGCTTTCTGATCAGCTGTGAGGATGACAGCGACAGTAGCAGCGGGGAGGGCTGAGGAGAGACCTGGGAAAAACCCAACCTGATAAGTGATGTGGCTGCATGGATCGGATACGATTGTCACTCAGTCTGGGTGCAGACTGCAGTCTGCCATTTGGTGATCCAGAAGTAAGGTCTGGCAATGGCTGCCTTATGAACTTTTAGACTATCAGACTTCAGGTATCCTTTCATTCAAGCTGAAGATTCGAGTCAGACTTCACAATAATAAGTAAAGTTAAACAATGGGGCAAATTTAAATCTTTTATTAGTAAACCTAAAATATTATAATTAAAGACTAATTTTTGAGATTGCTACATAATCTGTGCTACGGACTGTCTTTAAATAACCCATTCCATGTATTGCAGTGAAAAAGAAAAAAAACTGGAAGCTGTTTAAAGTATATGTAAAACCATCGTATAAAAATCCTCATATAAGATTTAACATGCTAATACCATCTGAAATTTTCAATAGTTTTAAACGTCATTGAAATACCTGATAGTCCATCCATGAAAGTCCTTCTGAGAAATGCCAGGCAGCCATCACTGAATTGCATGTAGGCAGGAAGTTCCCGCAAAGAGCTGCAGGAGATCCGCAACACTGAGATACAAGTGATGAATAAAGGGGAAAACAAATGTTTGTTATATAATGTTTTAGCAAACTAAATGTCATTCAATTATGCTTACATCTACTTTAAGCCTTAGGTTTTGATCCCATTTTTAGAGCAGTAACTTCATGATCATATGTTTCAGGCTACAATTATAAAAAAAATAATTGCCAGCCATTGCTTAGACGTTTTGGTCGTTCACATATCCAAACATACCGTTGTAGCACAACAGTAGAGATATGTAAATGTTAATAAACCCTTTAACTTCAGAATGCTATTTCCATCCTTCTTAGTACTATCAAGCACCATATACTTATGAACTTGCTTTAAAATATTTGAACATCGCCTTCACCATGTTATTCTCCCTGGAGTGTATCCTCAAGATCATTGCATTTGGATTCTTGGTATGTAACCGATACTTCACTAATGTCTCCTAAATTGTGTTTCTTTAGATGTGCTAATGAGGTTGTTGTATGGACTTAAGACTCATTTTCTTTGTATTGATCAGCGTGTTTTAACGTGTCCTGTTTTTCTTCTAGAACTATTTCAGGGATACCTGGAACATTTTTGACTTTATTACAGTAATTGGTAGCATCACAGAGATTATACTTACAGACAGTAAGGTGAGATGTTGCCGATTGCTTTTTGTCTTAGTTCCAATACTTTAATTAAAGCTCAACCGTGAAATGCATTATCAGAAGCAAGGGGTTAGTTGCAGAGTGGTTTTGTACAGTTCTGGGCACATCTTATTTCCCTCCCTTCTTTTCAACATGTTATTACGTTGTACTTGTTACTTTTCCTCCCATAGTTATGGGTCTTTTCTACTCTAACTCTAAGAGCTGGACTACCACTGGGATCTGTACTGGTTTCTGCCTATTTTCCATATACAGTGCACAATTGGGAAAGTTAATTAGCAGCTTCAGCTTCAAACACCATCTATATGCCCATGATACACAATTGATCATTTCTGTAGGTGAACTTTTGCCATGCTTGACAAATAACACTACTAACTGTGACCCCGGAGTTTATTAGATAATAGGCAGTGCCTGCTGTCCACCACATCATGGTTCATTAGTACAGTGCTTCAGTACCATGCAGGCCCATTGCTACAGGTCATTTTAGTTCTGCAATAGAGCATATTTAATTTCATGATTCAGTTCTCTAATTCAAGCAGTTCAGATCAAATGATGCATCCTGCTGCCTGGGAGCAATGATGCTCAGAAGAGAGCTGACAAGTCAAGACTGGTAGTGTTTACAGCACTACTGATCACCAGCATCAATGCTTTTACATGACACAACGGTGCTTAACAGGTGATCCATAGTTTGGATGGATTGGGTTTGGATGGGTTGTGTTGTGTTTTCTTTATACATAAGTTTTCCTGACCGAAGACTGTGCACATGCACAAGAAGTGAGATGAACAACCTTTGTCTTCAGGTATCCAGAGGGATTTTTTGTAACTGTCTCAATCTAGCCATATAATGAATGAATTTTGGCCAGTATTTTAGGAACTGGCCAAATATGGCCTACTGCTGCACAGTATTTGGGGCTAGAAAATTAATTACATTAAATATATGGGGTAGAATCCCATTTGTCTCAGAGACAGTGCAAATGATATTGTTACAAGTTTTTAACAACTTGACCTCCAGAGGATGTATCCCCTTCCTGGCCAGGCCATATTTTGCGTTACGGCACTGCGTTACTTTAACTGACAATTGCGTGGTCATGCAACGCTGCACCCAAATTAAATTATTGTCCTTTTTTCCCTACGAATAGAGCTTTCTTTTGGTGGTATTCGATTGCCTGTGTGTTTTTTATTTTTTGCGCTATAAAAAAAAGTACAACAATTTTGAGCAAAAAACTATTTATTACTTTTTGCTATTAAACATGTCCAGTAACGAATGTAGAAAATCTAATTTCCTCATAGATTTAGGCCAAAATGTATTCTGCTACGTCTTTGTTAAAAAAAATACAAATTCATGTGAATTAATTGGTTTACGTGAACTTTATAGCGTTTACCAATGGCGGTATATATACTGGGCTTCTTTTTTTTTTCACTAGTAATGGCGGCAATCAGCGACTTATAGCGGGACTGCAGCGGGCATTCTGACACTGGGAGGAACTGACTTGGTGTCACTGACATCCCCAGTGACACCAATACAGTGATCAGTGCTAATAAAAAGCACTGACACTGTACTAATGGCACTGGTCATGAAGGGGTTAACATCTGAGAAGATCAAAGGGTTAACTGTGTGCTGTGTGTTGTTTTTAACTATGTTTGTACTTCACTGTAAGCACACTGCTTTGCATGGCTGTGCTGTTTACTAACAGTTTCCCCCCCTCCCCCCGGCAGAGATCTTCGGCAATCACCGGGTGCCAGTGAGTAATCAACACAGTGATTGATAGCCGCGGCCATTGAAGGCCGTGCGTCCCCTACCTGGAAATGCAAAATCACGTATATATACGTGATTTTGCGCACATCTGTCTCCCTGTAGCAGTATTTCAGAGCTGAAACACTGCTTATCATTTCAACACATGTTTATACACACACTAGTACCAGAGTTAAGAATATGGTAACATTAAATCTAATTTGAATGGAACATAAGTATCCAAGATTAATTCAGCAACCTGAATGGATTATTTTTATTTTGCTTGTTTTAACATTCAAAAAAAGATCCTGCCACCCTTTACCCACACAGTAGTACCTGCTTTAAAGAGGTGGTTACCTTTGTGTAAGTTGTTTGTTGTATGTGGAATATACTTGCTTGCTGAAAACTGGTACTTGGATAAATGCTACATCATTTGCTTCAGAAAAAAATATTCAGTCACAGAATGCACTACTGATCTTTGAACTAACTGCTGTGTCTTTTATCTGACCCATCTAGCTGGTGAACACAAGTAGCTTCAACATGAGCTTCTTGAAATTGTTTCGGGCTGCCCGACTCATTAAACTTCTTCGGCAGGGATACACAATCCGCATTTTACTATGGACTTTTGTCCAGTCCTTTAAGGTAATGTGTCTATTTTTTAAAGCTTAGTAGAAGTCACAGAAATAAATGCACTTTGATATTGCACAAACCGTTTCCTCCACTTCCCCACTACAGCAGTGGCTTGTTGTGTTTAAATATGACTGTGTAGTCCAATAGGCACCAGAGTATGACTTAGTGTACTCCTAACTCTAACTACAATTTTGTGTGTGAACACTTGTTATGAAGGTTGTGGCCGGTATACTATCTTCTGTCCTAGAAGTGAGAGCTGGAAGCAGTTTTGGGCATTCCCTAACAATGACATGGAGGGGTACATAACTTTAGAGCTTTAAAAAAAGAGGTGAGACTTCAGTTACGCTTTCAAAAAAAAGTCTGCGGCCAATAAACTAAGCTTAGGAAAGTTAGTAGGCTAAAATAAAAGACAAAGCACATACAAGGTCTGATATCACCTTTTTTATTTGAAGTTGCTTATGTTGATTGGTTGTTTAGAGGTGTAGTAATGTGCTCTTGTTGGTGGTGGTCTCCTTATTTTCATGTTATGCTGGAGGCGATCTTATTGACTACCTCTCATACCAAACATTGGTTGTGAATGTGACATTTAATGGAGTATTTTCCATTTATGTAATTTATTTTGGATTTTTGCTAAAGTTGTAAAATGCAGCAGCTTGATTTAGACTATCTCAATATACACTTGCCAAAAAGTAATATAAATAAAGTAATATAAATCTTGCCAAAAGTATTGAGACACCCCTCCAAATCATTGGATTCAGGTATTCCAATCACCTCCATGGCCACAGGTGTATAAAATCAAGCACCTAGGCATGCACACTGCTTCTACAAACATTTGTAAAAGAATGGGTCACTTTCAGGAGCTCATTGGTACCATGATATGTTGCCACCTGCGCAATAAGTCCTTCTGTTAAATATCCTTTATACTAAATATTCCACAGTCATCTGTTAGTGGTATTATAACAAAGTGGAAGCAACTGGGAACAGCGACTCAGCCATGAAGTGGTAGGCCACGTAAAATGACACAGCAGGGTCAGCACATGCTGTAACGTACAGTGCGTGGAAGTCGCTACCTTTCTGCAGAGTCAATAGCTGAAGACGTCCAAACTTCGTGTGGCCTTCAGATTAGCATAACAACAGCGCATAGAGAGCTTCCTTGAATGGATTTCCATGGCCGAGCAGCTGCATCCAAGCCTTACATCACCAAGTTCAATGTAAAGCGTCGGACGCAGTGGTGTAAAGCATGCCGCCACTGGACTCTAGATCAGTGGAAACATGTTCTCTGGAGTGAGGAGTCATGCTTCTCTGTCTGGTAATCCGATGGATGTGTCTGGGTTTGGCGGTTGCCAGGAGAACGGTTCTTGCCTGTCTGCACTGTGCCAAGTGTAACATTTGGTGGAAGGGGGGATTATAGTGTGGAGTTGTTTTTCAGGGTCATGCTCCCAACTTTGTCAGAAGAGTTTGGGGATGGCCCCTTCTTGTTTCAACTTGATTTCACACTAGTGCACAAAGCAAGGTCCATAAAAACATGGATGAGCGAGTTTGGGGTGGAGAAACTTGACTGTCCTGCACAGAGTCCTGACCTCAACCCAATAGGACACCTTTGGGATGAATTAGAGCGGAGACTGCGAGCCAGGCCTTCTCGTCCGACATCAGTGCCTGATCTCACAAATGGAAGAATGGTCAAACATCCCCATAGACACCCCCCTAAACCTTGTGCACAGCCTTCCCAGAAGAGTTGAAGCTGGTATAGCTGCAAAGGGTGGACCAACTCAATATTAAACCCTATGGACTAAGACTGGGATGCCATTAAAATTCATGTAAAGCCAGGCGTCCCAATACTTTTAGCAATATTGTGTATGTTAATGTTTTAAAGACATTGATTCTCTCTGTAAACCTGGACAGGCATAGCTGCTCACTACATATGCTGGATTTGCATCTTGCTTTGTAGTGTTGCACTATGGCTGTGTTTACTGCTCCTTCCTAAATACTGATTTGTAAATGCGCCAAGCCAATAAATCCCCCCCCCCTCCAGTTGCTAATATACAAATCACCACATTTAATACAAAGACCAAGCTTGCAAAAAAACATAAAAAGTCACATAACGTTATACACTGCAATAAAAAACTGAAATATGTGCTCATTTAAAATATGCTATGCCCTTAAGGCAATGTGTTGATTAAATGATTGTATAACCCAAACAACTTTAATTTTCTGCAATATACTTTCTAGTATACTTTTGAGTCTAGTTGCAGCAAATCCATATGCATATTTCTTTTTTATTGCAAGTAAGAAAGTAGATGTTGCCATTGTTTTTGTCACTTAACCTTTTTTTTTTTGTCTTATTTTCAGGCACTCCCTTATGTCTGCCTCCTGATTGCTATGTTATTCTTCATCTATGCCATTATAGGCATGCAGGTTAGGCTGTCATCTAACAATATTTGTATTGTCATAAAGAAAAAATACACTCTGGATTGAACTCAGTGCACGTCAAATGTATTTCTTAGAACATCTATTTGCTAGTAAATGACAGTAGCCTTTATGTGTTCTATATGGAATTGTTACGGTAGAAAATATAGCAATAAATATTCTAAACTAATAAAACACCATTTCAACAGTACTCTTTATGTAGACGGTTTCTTAGAATTTCCATTTTCTGACTTAACTAGCTTACTGCCTCATTCTGAAATCAAATGCTATACAACATGTTCTATGAATATGGCATCTCTGGTATTAGATTTTCTTTTAGTGAGAGTTTCATCTTTAGTAAGCACATGGATACCCAGTAAGAGTACTACTTTAGTAAGAACTCAGAAAGTGATTACATCTTGTTTTGTAGGTGTTTGGTAACATTCGTCTTGAAGAGGACAGCCATATTAATAGACACAACAACTTCAGAAGTTTCTTCAGTTCCCTCATGCTGCTGTTCAGGTGGGTGCCAGAGCTGTTTTTGCATCCCATTTATTTTTTGCACACGTTTAAAAATCATTTTAAGCCTGAAGATTACACAAAACACCCAAACATTCTATATTTTCTAAAAGCAAAAACCCTAGAGAATAAAATAGTGGTAGTTGCAGTTTGTTGCAACTGTAAAGGTCTAAAAGATGAGGTTGCACTGACTAAACCTTAAATTTGTGTGCAACAAACTTCAGTACCCTATATTTTGTATAGGCGAAGCTTCAAAGGCCCCTTCAGGTCATCAGTTTAGTGTTACAGAGGAAGTATTGTGCTAGAATTATTGCTCTCATTCCAGCGTGCCTGGCAACGTGTATCGCAATTGACGTTTTCATGCCCCTGACACGCGCATTTACATTCGTACGTGTGTACATGTGGAGGTGGGGGGCCTCAGAATTTTTTTTTTGGGGGGGAGGTGTTATGTGCTTTATTTTTTTGCTTAACATTTTTTTCATCACATAGGGGACACAAAGTCCCTCATGTGAAATATTTGTTAGTGACAGGTTCTCTTTAATGAGACATGCAGGGTCTAAAAGACCCTGCATGTGTCCTCTGGGCTCCACTGGACATATTGCAATGCAGATCGAATCACAATACATTTCTCCCTGACTATTTTAGCTGGGGAAAGTGACAGGGTGACCCAGAAGTGACGTCATACACTTCGCTTTCCGGGTCACAGCAAGAAGGGGAGAAGAGTGGACAAGTGTCTACTCTCCCCTCCACCCACTAGAACTCGCCATGTTGGCCCTGGGCCCGCAAATGGGCAAGCGGAGCCCGGAATACATGGCGGGGGCACGCGTGCGGGGGGTGCCATTACTGGAGGTGTGTGTAAGCAATCAGACAGCAGTGCAGCCTCCCTGACCATCTGCTTCCACCTGATAGGCAGGAGTCTGCTTGTCAGATTTATACACAATCCTGGTGGCTGCAGCCACTGGATTATACGTAAAACCCCCCACTGTCAGGTCCATACAACATACGGACCTGGCAGCAAAAATGTCAAATAGAGTGCATAGAGGTTTTGTCATTTTCGCCATTTTTATAATGGGAAGGGCAAATAAAATTGCAAATAAAAACAAAATAAGAATATCTCTAGTGTTCCTTTTTCATTCGCTTTGCTATTTTAGCTTTCACTCGTGCTCAGAGAAACTGATTGTTTATTCAATGAATCATCACAGCAGTGGAGGATGAAGAGTCTGAAGACTCTATGGGGGTTATTTACTAAAAATGAAGAGTGCAAAACCTGATGCAGCTGTGCATGGTAGCCAATCAGCTTTGACAATAAAACCTGGAAGCTGATTGGTTCCTATGCAGATCTGCACCAGATCATAAACTCTCTAGTTTTAGTAAAACCACCACCAAACAAAGGGAGCTGCAAACTATGGGAATCCTTTTATAATGTATTAAGGTTTGTGTGTAAAACAAAGAGTTAATATACAGTGTATGATTAAAAAAACACATGCACATTTTCAGTATTGGCCCTCTGTTTCACCAAGTTTGATTGTTCCATAAACTTTTGTCGAGAAAGCCTGTGGAAAAATTGTAGGCCGAACATTGCCTGCACCCATTAAGATACAGGTCCTCTTTGGGTATTCTGACAGCTGCGGGGCTATTGTCAGAATACATTACCTGTTAGTGTGGATGAACGAAAAATAATAGATTTCTTTTGTTCAGTCCCCCCCCCCACCCTTTTTATTCATTTCATTTTGTTATTAATGGCTGGAGTTCTGCTGTAAGAGCCCCCGTTTGATGTTAGGTTAATTGCTAAGGGACCAAATAAGGATTTGCAGAAAGCAGAAACTCAAATCTTTAAGTAGGAGATTTCATCTTGAACAATTCACCCCAGTAATAATTCTTTTGTCTCCAAGATTCAAAGTTTGATGTAACATAGCTTTACATGCGTACAAATGGCTGCAATAGGCACATTACAACTTAGGTCGGTCATACTCAGGATAGATTTAGCTAGTGTTTTGCTAACATTTATTTTTTCAGGAACTTTGCAGAATAAGCATACGTTCGTGATAAGGTGAATCCTGAATAAATTGAACACAAATAAAATTAACTTAGGCTGGTGCTCATACTTAGGTAAACCAGTCTGGGTAGCTTTCAGTTAAAGTAAGCAGCTCTGTAGGCAAAATGTTTCTTATAATGTCAATGGCTAGTACCTGCACAGTCAATCAAGATGAAATCCCAAGGAATTGGAGGGAAGGATAAACAGATGTGTTTACTCGACCCTGCAGCAAATTGGTGCATGTAATCTGTATGTAGCACCCTATAGTATGCAGCTAGAATAATGTAGTATATTTTAGGTAAATTCATTATGTATGACTCGTGATAACAGTGTGAGTCTGTGATTGAGGTCAGGTTATTGCAGGTCGGCTGGATGACTTAACAGATTGTGGCTCTATCGCCTCCTTCTGACTCTGGAGGACCATAGAACCCTCCAGAAGTTGGTAAGCAGGAAGCGGTGGAGACCTAATCTGTATTTTTAAAGGAGTATGGCCAATCCCAGGTTTGGAGGCCCTGGTAGAATGGTGCATTGGCCCATATGGGGAAGACTGTCAGTGCCTGGGAGGGGTCCCCTAGGGGGGGGGGTGCTGCCTCCAAGCTGGGCTGGCTGGCTCAGCATGATACATTTAACAGTGCAGCATGAATGGGATTAAGACCTGGAGCAGTGGGAGCAAAAAGGACAAAGTGAGTACATCAGCACACCCTAAGGAAAGACTGCCATATGAAGCAAGCTTTCAAAGGACAGCGCTGGGCTCAATCCTTTATACTGTCTCAGGAGATCTTCAGAGCAGCCAGAGGGCTGGTAGTGTCTGCAGGCTGTAGAGCTGGGAGCAGTTTCAGGGGGAGAGGAGTTGTCTGGCTTTGCAAAGCTTAGGGGTACCCACAATGCAGCAACCCTCACTAGGGTAGTGCTACATGTATATCAACATTTCTCAGCACAATGACATGTGCTGTGTATATACCAATAATGGACAATAATAGCCAAATCTAATCTGGCTGTCACTGACAACTCTGGTTCCCACTGATAATCAGGAACCCATTAAAGTGGAATCCAGTAATTTGAACACTACATCAGCTATTACATGACATGACATGCAGCGATCACATGCAGGCTGGAGGCTTCCTTAACAAAATAAGCCTTCAGCATGCAAATGTAACTGTTTAACATGATATCTGATACATAACCATATTAAAAAAATGTATTTAAAAATAGAAACAAATTTTTCCATTTTGGCTGTGTGGCAACCTAAAATAAAAAAGCAGAGCTGGAATTTTATTAAAACAATGTAATAAATAAATGTCATAAAGTATATCTATAGGTAAATTATTTAGGTTGGAAAATAGAGTTTTTGTTAAGTTGAGGAGGAATCAGCACAAGGGACACATCCTGCTGACAGTTATGTCCCTTGTGCTGATTTTTCTTTTTTTTATTTCAGCTACAATTACGCTTTAAGAAGCAAGAATCCTGCTGAATTCCAACTGCTGAAAGTGTTCATGATCTGAAAGAGTAAACTGTAATAATGTCTCAGGCAGTTGGAAGTGGGTGCCACAGATGGAACTGAGAATTCTGTAGAGTAGAAAGAATGTGTTTTGCCGTGATGCCATGAGTTTGTAGTATGATATACTAATTGTAATTTCTGTCTTTTGTTGCTAGGAGTGCCACTGGGGAGGCTTGGCAGGAGATCATGCTTTCTTGTCTGGGAGATAAAGGGTGTGAACCGGACACTAGTGCCCCGGGTGGACATAATGAAAATGAGCGCTGTGGAACTGACCTAGCTTATGTTTATTTTGTCTCCTTCATTTTCTTCTGTTCCTTTCTGGTGAGTTTGACTTTCAATACTTTGACTGCAACAAATGTTTGTCATTTATATACTGAAAAACCCGTTGGTGCTCAGCTTGCAACCAGAAGGCCACATGCAGCTCGGTGCTTATGGTCCTTGGATCCTAGCAGACAGAAGCAAGGACATTGACTTGTAAAGAGGCTGTAATTGTAGTAATTGCTAGCAGTCTAATTTAACATGTCCTCAGTTTCTAACCATCTCCAACCAAACCTGTAGCCTTTTTCTGACCATCTCTTGCAGTATGTTAGTAATCTGGAATTGTTCTATGGCATCACATGAATCATCAGTACATGCAGCTCCCTGATGATGTCAAGGGCCACTGTTGGGGCCCCCTTTCATCAAGCAAATTGACTAAATCATGGATTTTTTGGCCTTGAATCTCCCTCCTGATTTCTGATCCTTAACACTGGTTGGCAGTTTTGATATTCAGTGGGAGCTCTAGGCCAGAACTCAAAGGAACAACGGTTTAATAGAACTGAGAATAAATTGTCTACAACAAATCAATGAGTCACTTGGTATGGGGTAGATGATAAACAGGAAGCTGTTATTAGGGCAGACCAGTAAAAACACAATTTTGTCTTGCAGAAGGCTCAAGCTAAAAGGAGGCAGCAAACTATCAGCATCCAAAGCCCATAGAAAATAATTTAAAGTGGAATTCTATGCTTAAACTCACTCTAAATAGTTAATTTGAGCTATGCTGGGCCAGAATGTGTGTGTTTAATGGACTGTAATGGCATTAGCTGCATACAGTAGGTAGCATGTTTTGTGGCAGCTTCCTCAGGCAGGTTTCCTCTGATTGGCAGAGGTAGAGAGGTGAAGAAGGACTAAGCTTGCCTCTTTTTATATCCAGCAGTAGATGGGATTTCACCCATACTGCTGCTGGAACACAGCGCCATTTATTGTGTGTAGTTAAAGCTACTACAGTCCATTACAGCACACCCAGTGGACACATCTTTCTGTAATGGAAATAATATGCTAGGGCCAGCATGGCCCTAACAAACTATTTAAAGTGATATTAAACATGAAATTCTGTTCAAAATAATTTAATGAGGAGAAATATGCACCACGAAAGGAAATGTCCAATCCCAGGATGTAGGGCGTGGTCATCATATTAGCCTCACTGACTGCACGTGACAAACAATACTATACATGCAGTCAAATTGGACATATACTGTACATAAACACTATATTGCAAAGTGTATTGGGACACCCCTCCAAATCATTGGATGCAGGTGTTCCTATCACCTCCATGGAAAAAGATGTATAACATCAAGCACCTAGGCATGCAGACTGCTTCTACAAACATTTGCGAAAGAATGGGTCGCTTTCAGGAGCTCAGTGAATTCACGTGTGGTACCATGATAGGTTGTGACCTGTGCAATAAGTCCATCCATGAAATTCCCTTGCTACTAAATATTCTGGTCAACTGTTAATGGTATTATAACAAAGTGGAAGCAACTTGGAACAACAGCAACTCAGCCACGAAGTGGTAAGCCATGTAAAATGACAGAGCGGGTTCAGCACATGCTGAAACGCACAGTGCACAGAAGTCACCAACTGTCTTCAGAGTAAATAGCTAAAGACCTCCAAATTTCATGTGGCCTTCAGATTAGCACAACAACCATGCGTATGGAATGGGAAGGCTGAGCAGCTGCAGCCGTGCCTTACATCACCGAGTGCAATACAATGCAGTGGTGTATAGCACACCGCCACTGTACTCTAGAGCAGTGGAGATGTGTTCTCTGAGTGACGAATCATGCTTTTCTGTCTGGCAATCTGATGGGCATTTCTGGGTTTGGTGGTTGCCAGGAGAACGGTACTTGCCTGACTACATTGTGCCAAGTGTAAAGTTTGGTGGAAGGGGGATTATAGTGTGGGGTTGTTTTTCAGGGGTTGGACTTGGCCCCTTAGTTCCAGTGAAGGGAACTCTTAAGGCATCAACATACCAAGACATTTTGGACAATTTCATGCTCCCAACTTTGTGGGAACAGTTTGGGGATGGCCCCTTCTTTTTCCAATATGACTGCGCACCAGTGCACAAAGCAAGGTCCATAAAGACCTGAATGAGCGAGTTTGGGGTCGAGGAACTTGACTGACCTGCACAGAGTCCTGACCTCAACCCTATAGAACACCTTTGGGATGAATTAGAGTGGAGTCTGTGAGCCAAGCCTTCTCGTTCGACATCAGTGCCTGACCTCACAAATGCGCTTCTGGAAGAATGGTCAAAGTTTCCCATAGACACACTCCTAAACCTTGTGGACAGCCTTCCGAGAAGAGTTGAAGCTGTTATAGCTCCAAAGGGTGGGCCAACTCAATATTGAACCCTATGGACTAAGACTGGGATGCCATTAAAGTTCATGTGCCTGTAAAGTCAGGCATCCCAATACTTTTGGCAATATAGTTTATATTGTTACCCTAGAGGTCATCAGTAGATTCAGGGTGTGCAGCAAAGCACGACATTATGTAGAGTTCTTGCTCACAGAAGACAGACTTTCAGTCACACTTCACAGGCCTTTGGTAGAACCAAGCTCAGCATGCATTTCTTCTAAGGTTTATGGAGTTTGTCCACTCATCAATCAGTCAAAGCCAAGTCTGCGGAAGTATTTTGGTGGCCAGTACACATAACATGAATAGATTACCACTTCACCACTTAGACATTATCCAGAACCCAATCCAGCACAAAAATGCCAGAAATACAGTATATTAAGTTCACTCTCTTGTACTTGGCGATTCTAAACTATGTAAGCCCACCTGCATTATGTATGGGTTGATGGGAGAATGGTAATAGATTTCAAGGATGGTAGAACATTTCTAACAACTTTGGACCCCCCTGTTGTTAGACCTAATTTATAGAGGCCCAGGGATTATCATTGAACTTGTCAGAAACACTTACAGGTGAATATCTACTCCAGAAATATATTTAGATTATAGACATGGGGGAAAATTGTGCTCGTGATGGGAAGGTTTACCAGCAAGAATTACCTTGCACTAAATTTCACATGATTGCTTTTAAATATTTGTAAAATCAAACCAGAGAACAGAGAACCAGAGAAGCAACCCAGGCAGATGACTTCTGGGTTAAATTTTTTAGAGTGTGAGTGGTTGTCCCTTGAATGATTTTGTAAACTATTTTAATTGTTTATCAAGTGTTGTTGAAGCTATTTTAGTAGTTTAGAGAGGTTTTTTTTTCTTTTATGACTTTTACCTGTTGTTGGATTAACATTTGAAAATATGTTTTTTCCTTGCAGGGAGTCTCCCTGCTGAATGCACATGCCTGGAATTGGCAGTGTTTTTTGCTGGGAGATAATGGGGAATGTGTTTGTGATCATCAGCTGAGTGATTTTGAATAAATTGGCCTGGAATCTTATTTCTCGTTCATGATCCTTAAGAAGAGCTATCATTAGATTTTTTTTTACAGTTCTGTGAACAGCTGAGGTTGATAGGAGACAGTTTCCTGAGATAAGCAATGACAAGAAGAATGCAGAAGCTTCCCCCACCCCCAACGCATTTCACTTGGTCATTGCTTATCTAAGGAAAGTATTCACAGTCAAGACAAGCTGCTATGAATTACTGTAACTGTCTCATTTAGAGCTGTTGTTGGATTGGCTGCAACAGGAGTCAAGTTCCATGGGGTACAGAACTATAAAATACAAATTCCAATAACAGATCCTCTTTAACCCCCTTCTTGCTACTGCCTCCTGGCCCTTTAAGAGGCAGGTGAAGGCAAGCTTTCCAGTCATGCGACCGCTCTGATTGGCAGTCACAGTGGTAACATGATTGGAATGCTCCCGATCACAAGTATCGGTGGCTTTCTGCTACCCGCCAGTAACAGTGCTGGGAGTGCGCTGGACATGCACTATCAGCACAGAAATGTTTGTATTTGGGAAGTATATATGTGTCCTCTCAGGGTTAAAGCCCACCCACCAACAGGCCAAATATAACACCTACCTTGGGGTGACAAAACTCTGTTTCTGTCTCTCATTTTTGCTTCTCCTTTTTCTGTCTCCCACATGGGATTCTGATGGACACTAAAGTGGTCATTTTAACACATTACACAAGCTTTTGGGAAGCTCACCCTGAGTATTAATGTGCAGTCATCACTGCAATGCACAAAGACCCAATGTGACTGCAGAGCGACAGAAGGAAATCAGCAACAATGGAATGAAAAAAGGGTGAAATACATGACATCTGTTTATAATACAGTATGCTTTGCTTTGCCAAACTAAATATCATCCAGTTAGAGTTATATCCACTTCACTGGACCTTGTTTGTTTCTTCCTTAGATGTTAAATCTGTTTGTTGCTGTCATCATGGATAACTTTGAATACCTGACCAGAGACTCTTCCATTCTCGGCCCACATCATCTGGATGAGTTTGTCCGGATCTGGGCAGAATACGACAGAGCAGCATGGTAAATTGTCTTCTTCATTTTTCTATCCTTACTTAATTAAAAAGCCTTCCATCATGCAGAAATATGGTGTGGACATTAAATATGATACTGAAATAAAATAAACTAGATTCCCAGTTTATCAAGTTAACCTTGCAATGATGATTTGTTTCTGAATTTCTGTAATATATTGAAAATTCCATCTTTCTGACTAAAGATTGACTGGTTGAGGTTGTTACCTAACCTCACCCATTTTCATGCCCCAGTCTGAGCAGCAGTTATTTTGCAGGAGCTGGGTTTGGTCTTTGTGCTGCCCTTGGAGCTCTCATGGTGCAGTGACTGAAGTTGTGGGGGGTTTGTCCTCTGTCCACGGAAGTCTCTCCAGCTTCATGGTACTGAGCAGTGCTCTGATTAACATGCCTGTGCTTTTCTTCCAGTGGCAGGATCCCCTATAAGGATATGTACAAATTAGTCCGAGTCATCTCGCCTCCGCTCGGCCTAGGAGAGAACTGCCCATACAGGGTGGCATGCAAGGTTTGGTGCCCAATCTATCAGCCCTTTCCACTTCAGCAAGGGCATAGCTTACCTTTACCTTCCCACCTTTCCCTTCACCTAACTATCCCTTCCCCTCCACCGCTCCACTACTGCACCATGCAAGGGACCTCGGGCTGCTGCCTCCAGGTGTAAAGACTGACATTCACTCCCTAACCGTTCCACTACATCAGCAGCTGCACCCAAGCTA